CAGGAATGCTGGCTCAGGGGCACACCTGTGCTCCCCTCCCGTGCCACCGTTCCCCGTGGTACCGCTCCTGTGGGAGGGCAAGGCACCCCTTCCTCCTGCCCACTGGCTTTGAGAGCAGCCAAGAGGAACCCGTCAAACCCATGCCCTGAGGTTCCCAAACCTAACATTTAATTATGCGCTTTTGTGGCACCGAATGCCACGTCAGTCACGTCATGGCTAACACGCCCTTCCCTCCCTCCCTCCCTCCCTCCCAATCAATGTCTTTGTTCCCTTCCCTACCTCCCAAAAACTCAGGTGCAGGAAGAAACGGTGCATTGTGAAGAGATTACACAACCATTCCCCAAGAAATCACATAGTGTCCTCCTCCTTCTGAACCCCACCTATAGCCTGTATTGCCCTTATGTACTTACTATCTGTTTAACACCACATCCTGGTCTGACCTGGAAAAGCACCTGTCATTATCTGGGAGCTATTTCCATCCAACAAGGGCTCCTTTCCTGTTGGTGGAAAAACCTTGGGCTTTGCGCGTGTCTCGCACAAAGCCATGGAGCCAGAGGTCTCACAGAAGCCAGAGCAGCTGGAGCAAGCAGACTTCCACTGCTTGGGTTTTTATTAGAAAGGAAGCGGTGCCCATCAGTCCAGCTTGAAGGAGGTGACCCTGAAGCCTCCCTTGACACTCATGTAGCTGATCTTGTCATAGCAGTGCCGGTTGGGGAACTCCACTTCATGCCCATCTGGTAGTTTCACCTGGAATTTGTCTGCCAGCAGTTCAATGGTGATCTGGGAGAAGAGAGGGGAGGAACGGCAGGAATGGGGGACAAGGAGGAGATTAGGAGGTGAGCATCCAGGCGAAAAGCCTGACTGTTACACATGAGGGTCAGACCTGGTCCTGATAGCCTTAAGCAAGGTGCTGGGCGTTGAGCTGAGGGCGATGCAGGAAATGACCAGTTGATATCAAGGCTCTGAGCTGGTATCTAGACTATGACCTGGGGACAGGATCTCTCCTGGGGCTCTTTCAGCTACTCGAGTTGTTAACTCAGAGCAAATAAATGCAAGTGTGTCTTTATACGCCACATGGCTTAGATTTGCTCTGAACAAGGCATAATAAACCAAACACCCGAATGCCCTCAGCAGCTCACCAGGACCTGGAAAAAGGACCTTCGCTGCTAAACACACACAAGCAGACAGGATGAGAATACATCGCTGATCATCACAAATTAAAGGGACCATTCCCCAGAGCTATCACCTCACCACCCCTTCCCCAAGAGTCAGCCATGACTGAGGAAACAAGCTTCCTCTCCACAGCAATAAGAATAGGGCTGCTCCTAAATGCAGCCCTGTTAACATCTCAGGACATCAGATGGGGTGAGATGGCAACTAGGACAGCATCCCTGACAGGAGGAGAGAGAGGACAGATTGACAGTATGGATCCAGGAGTAGTGAGGACAGAAAAGCTAAGGGAGAAGTTTTTGGACATTGCTCCCAACCCTGGGTTGCCTTAAAGCCTGTGTTTGCACAAAAGGGAATTAGGGAGAGAAACTGGGTAGAGACCTGCAAGATTCTGCTTCTTGGAGACATTTTTCACCCTCATACATGCCACCAGAGTGCTCAGAGGGCAGGTATGGGGGACAGGAAGCACTTACAAAGGCTGAGACAGACAGGGTTCAGGCAAAGTTCCCAGAGGAAGCATGGGGGTTTTGAAGGAGGAGTGGAAATGGCAATCAGGACCAAAACCCAGAGGATGAGACTGAGGGGCTATTGGGAAGGAGCAGCAGGCATCGTATGGGACTGGGAGGACTGGGGTACAGGAATCTTCTAACGAGGGGCTTCTCCCCACCACACACACCCCCTGCAACCTTATGCCAGCACAGCCCCTTCACCTTGACAGTGGAGCCCTTGGAGAAACAGAGGTGGTCCTCACGATGCTCTGTCTGCCAGGCATTGGAGCACCTGGAGTTGCAGACAATGACAGACTCATTGAAGCGAGGATTGAAGTGAAGTGCCAGATCTGAGGACCTGCAGCCGAGATTGATGCTGAAGCTGTGAGTGAACAGGAGGAAGATGAGTTGTGCGGGCAGGACAGGGTCTTGGAAAACCTGAGATCCAACACAAGGCTCTGCACCCAATTCTTCCATCAGCATTGCAGGTGTTTAATGCCTCCTGTTTCCTCATTCTGCTTGGGAACCAGGAGAGTTTGCACAGTGGTGGCATAGGGGCTCCCCTGATACTGAGCTGCGCTCAAGATTTTTGTACCTGGTGACCTTGGAAAACCACCTCCCTCTGCATCCCACCTTCAGTCCTGGCAAGTCAAGGTGGTTTCTTTGTACTTACCCATCAGCATCATCAGATATCTTGCCCTTGACCTTCAGGGTATCCCCAGTCTTCATATCCAAGTTGAAGATTTCAAATTTTTCCTAAGGCAGACAGAAAAACAGTCTGGGGGGCTCCTTCAGCCATTCCTCCCCTGTCACTGAAAGTGAGACAGTGCTGCTCAGAGAAGACGTCCCAGCCAGGAAGACATCTACTGCTCTCAGCTGGTGTTTCTCTCATGGCCTAAAACCCTCCGTGATGGAGGTCTTGCATGGGCTCCTCACTCAGTGAGGGAAGAGTGGGCCAAGTGATGCCAGCAAGCAAGAAAAGACATCAGAGAGAGAAGGGAGATGAAAACAGGCTTGTCCTCAGCAGAAGGAATGGAGAGCTTCAGAGCAGACATACAAAGAGGGTTAAAACAGAGGGACGCAATCCAGGGTACAGTGGGCAGCACTGCCCACAGCCCAAGAAATGCAAGTGGTGAGAGCGGAGGTGGCTGAGGCTTGCTGGTCCCTTGCTCAGCCTTGCTGAGCAGACTGGACCCTGGGTGAAAGAGAACAGGAGCAGCAGCCCTTACAGCAGCCATCTTCCTCAGAGGGCAGAGTAACCAGGCAGGGAGCCACCAGCAGTTTAGCTTAGAAATGCTTCGCGCGGAGGACCTTACATCCCCACACTTCCTTGTGGCTTACACATTAACAGCATGCCCACCTCCACAAGGCTCCACCAACTGCTGTTAAGCCAGGAGACTTTGATCCAAAGAAACAGCTTCCCTATGTACACTTCCTCTCATTTGGGACTTCAGGACATTTAACCAATTCCCAGCCTCCTCAGTGGGCTCCCTGTGAAGGGACCACCACACACAGCCTTGGTGGTGCTACTCCAGCCACTGCATAGGACAAGCGTCTCCACAGCTGGACACAGAGGTGTGACCATCGTATTCATTTCTTTTCTGTATGTAACAGCTTGGCCAAAAAAAGCATCCCGGCTCCTTTCCTTTTCGTGGCTCTAGATTCAGCCCCAGCTGCATGGATTGCACTAACAATCCATGGGAGCTCTCTGCAACCTCCCACCCAAGCTCCATCAAGACTCAAACCTTTTAGTTTGAGGAGCCATGCCCAGCAGGTTCAATAGCCCCATCCTCCCTGATCCTGAGACACGGGAATGTTGTCCTCACAAAGGAACATCACCCCTCCTGTCTTCTTCCCAGGTAAGAGCTACAAGTCAGTAAACACTGTCCCAGATTTAGTTAAACAAATTGGTGGTGTTTTGCCAGGCTCTAGAAGTCAGTGGGAAAGTGAGAGGGGGGGAGGAGGCCAAGGCTCAGGAGACGGGAGTCCCTCAGCCCCCCTCCTGAGCCCTGCAGAGAGCACCTGAGTGCAGTCATCCTGCTGATGCACAGCCAGCTAGAAGACAGCTTCTGCCCTTCCCCAAACCTCCTGAAGCAAGCAGAGGTAAGTGTTGATAACCCCTCTTTCCCCAGAGGTGTTTCCTGCTAGCAGAGGTCATAAAGCCCAGCAGGCTTGGGAAATTTGTTTGCTGTTGAGGTCACTCAAACTGTTGATGAAACCTCCCCGGGCTGAGCGTGGAGCCAGCAGGAGCAGCTGCTGGGGATGGTGGTTTCTGGCATTGGGTCTGTTTCCCATCACGCTGCTGTGTCCCACCCGCACACACCTTCACACCACCCTGCTCCCCTGCAGCCTTCTCAGAGAGAATGCAGAGCCCAGAGCTCCCAAAACGCTCCCCAAATGCTGGAGCATCCCACTGGCTATGAGAGGTTTCTCTTTCCAGCACCTCATGTTGTCCCTTTGCAGGGACAAAGGCAGGACAAAGACACTGCTTGCATAGCCACCACCAGGGTTAGTTACCTGAACTTATGTTAAGCCAGCGGGCAGAAACAAACTATTCTAGTGCTCAAGAGATCACATCCCAAAACAGACTCTAAACTTGGCCAGAAAAATCCTGTCCTACATGGCTGGCCAAAGTGACACAGGAACATCATGGCGGAGACAAGACCCGGGTCCTGCAATGTAGAGGAGGCTTCACTCCAATTCCCACACAGACCAGAGTGGAGCAGACAGAAACATCGCTCTCACCAGGATTTATCCACAGATCCCATCAGTGGAGCGTGAGGCTGCCCAGGAAGGAGGGCAGCATGTGTCTGAGGGACGGTGAAAACCAGCCATACAGAGAGTTGTTTGCGGAGCTGCAAGTACCACGGATGTGAGAACATGCAGGGAGGGAAGACAGGCAGGAAAGAGGCACGAGCTGCTCAGAGAGGGGCCGTGAGATTATATCGAGATAACATTAACCCCCCTCCTACAATGCACAGCAGGGGCGTTCACCCCCCTTTTATTTGCCACTGGGAACAATAGTGGGAAACCAGGCAGCAACTCTGCCAGCGCTGGCGACTTCCTTCGTCTGCAGAGCTGAGCCTCCGCATGGTCAGACACCAGCCCTGTGCAGATGGCCTCTCTCATGCAGGGGGATGTGCTCCCCACGTAGGACGGGTCTGAGACTTTACGGACCCCAGAAGAGCTGAAATCTTCCAATGCAATTGGAGGTGGCCATTGGGATGATGAAGAGAGGGTGAAGAGGGGCAGGTTGGTACTTCCCTGCAGCCACTGCAAAGCAGAAAGCCTGAGGAAACGGTGATATGATGGGAACGTAAATCCCAAAGAAAGAGGAAATCCGGCTAAAGGGCATCTGCAAAGGAGGTGGAGGGTCTGTGCAATGAGGAAAATATAAGCAATGGTTGTGGAAGCTGGCAGCCACCAGTGCAAGGGATCCAGGAACACTCACCCCTAGAGAGACAATCCTATAATAGGGTACCTGCCTGCAAGTGCCTCTCCAGCGCCCCATATAGATGCTCATCCTGGCTGGAGGGCAGTTGGCCTGTAGTGGTGTGGGATGCCCCTGGTCACACCGCTGGCACTGGAGGAGGCTTTGCTGTGTTCCCAGAGGGTGCCTTGGGACGGCAGAGACCCAACAAGCATTTACCGGCGAGAAGATGGTGGCTGTGCCCTGGGTGCAAGCTGAGCAGGTAGGCCTGCAATTTTGCATGAGTAAAACAAAAAAACCCACCATATTTTAGGGAAGGAAGAGACCAATGCAACCAGTGGGCTTTCCGCCAGAAGGGTGGCAGGGCTTTGCAGAGTGCTTCCACCACATGAAACGTGGCAGCTTCATTTATAGAGGTTCCATAAGGTAGGTTTTGGGGTTAATAGTCCTTCCCGACCTTCCCTCTAGTCCTGGGGAGATCTCAGGCCACCAGGAGTACCCATGGGATCTCAGGACCCTCAGGGTGGCTCCAGACAGCAGCACCTCATGTACCATAGCCCAGAGCTGCCACCTCTACCACAGGGCACCCACACAGCTGTTAAGAACAGACTGAATGCCACCCTCTCCAGAAGGCTGCCAAGATCCTCGGCAGCATCATTGCTGGCAGCAGTATTTATTTTGTTTTCTTACTCTGGCAGGAGATAAGCCAGCTAGGTGTGAAACCCTGAGGAAACCCACAGACTTCCCTGCTTCCCGGCCAAGGTAGCTCAACCGCCCCAGCTGTGAGAGGTTTCTCAGGGCGTTCTGTGGCAGGGAAAGCCACCAAAATCCACACCAGCACACCAAAACACTCCCCGCCATCCCTCCCAACGGTGCTCTGAGGAAGGGCTCCAAGGTGTTCAGAGGACAGGGCAGCCAACACCTCTTCTCTGGATGACACGAGCTATGAACAGTCCCTTGCAGGAGTGACAGGGGTCATCAACAGGTGTGATGCTCAGCCCAGAAGGGAAGAGGGAGAGAGGGAAAAGAAAGGTGGCCACATCAGGTGTGAGGATGTATGTGCTACTGCCCCGACATCAAAACAAATTCTGCAAGAAGAGGCGAGACATCCCCTTCGCACGCTCACAGAAGGCTGTGGTTTCAGCTTGGCGCTAATTAGACACCAGAGAAGCAGAGGAGGACATTGCAGAGGGGAAAAGGCACCTGTCCCATTTTGCACTGAAGGCACCAGGGAGGCTGTGCCATGAACCAGGCATCAGCGTCCTCTCAAGGCAAAGGGAGCGGGAGAGACCGACCATGCATTCTTTCTCGGAGTAGCAGCTGCTCACTCTGCTATTATTTCCTACTGCTTCATATAATTTGTACTCCACAGCAAGCTATTGTCCCTTTCCACTGGCTATTTATTTCCTTGAATAGCCTCTGGGGAAGGATTTCAGTGCGGGAGTAAAGAAAAAAGAAAAACTCCACACAATAAATATCGAGTGGTGACCTGATTTAAACCGTGTTCTCTGACCTCATCTGGGCTCTGATTGCGGTTCCTCCCGGCAGTCGCAATTAAGCCACGTTTCTGCCTTGGTTTCCCCCTTTTATGAGGCCTAGAGGGGAATGTCCCCTGTCTTAGAGGGCTGTGGGATGGACTTCAACCTGAGCCCTGCATTTTAAGAGGCCAGGGCTTAGGACAGGACCACGAAGATAGAGCTGCTCAGTCCTCCACCTGCCAGTCACAAAAATTCCCAGATGGGTTTGACAGGACCGGTTTCCCCTTCAGTCAAGAGGTGTTGGTTTGCCACTCAGCAGATAATGCTGCAACCCTCACCCAACCGATCCCTAAGCTCTGAAAGCCAGCCATCTTCCTAATGGAGGAGGACCGAGAGAACAAAATGTACTTACCTCAGCCAAAGACTGAGGTAAGCAGGAGACTGGATAAGCAGGTCTGTGGATCTGGAGGGCGTGTACAGGAGAGGATTGTCCAGAAGATGCAGGAGAAGCCAAGACAGTGATGAACACAAGGAACCTAGCGCCCATGAGCATGAACCTCCTACCTAAGAGGTTAACCAGAGTGGGATGGTTCCTCTAGGAACCACACTGAAGGCTCTACATTCAGATCAACTAAAATGGAAAGGAACAAAGGACTGGAGGTATAATCCCCTACCACCCTTCATGCCCCAGCTCCCTGGCAGTGAGTCATCTGGAGCCCCTGTGCAAAGTACGGAAGTAGCATCCACACTCTGAATCTTGGGGGGCAAGGGATTACAGACCATCGTGGTCTCGTAGGCTCTCCACCAGCATCACCCCCCTTCACCTGTAAAGTGCAATTTCTCTTCCTTAGGATGGGGGGAATAAGGAGGAGGAAGGACAAAACTAGCTGAAGAGCTAATCTGTGGAAAAAAACCCAACACCTTTCTTCAGGGCTTGGGGCAGCAGGGAAGGGGGGAACCTGCATCAAGCAGTGGAGCAGATCAAGAGAACAGGAAAGAGGCGTAGCCTCAGGTTCCATCTCTCTCCCTACAGGCAGGGGTACCACAGTGACTGGCATCTCCCATCTCCAAAGGGAGCTCAAATGCACTCTAATGGATGGTTTCCATTCCCAGGGCCAAGTTATGTCCTTATACCTTTGCAGGGGACATCTTTCTTGAGCAGCTCTGAAGTCTGGGGCAACAATTTTGTGAAGTACAAGTTGTGCACAGAGAGGGGAGGAAGGTAGTTCACATGCAAGGAAGCTAGCTCATAAGACATCAGGGCCATTTCATCATCCCAAGCAGCCAAATGAGTCACGTCTTATGGGTCCCCGGCTTGCTTGAGGGGCAG